TCTGCAATTGCCAGGTTACTCACTGTTGTTCAGCTTTGGCTCGGTCACTTAGGAAGAAGAGGGCCGTGGCCAGGAAGAACATCCCTCCCAGGACAACGACAAACGGGCAGAGCATGAGTGCATACCCCAGGCTGAGGAACTCCCAGACTGGGGACTCCTTTGTGCTTTGTCGGATCAGGTCTGAGATCTAGGAGAGACAGGCAAAAAAATCAGTCACTCAGATGAAAAAGAGACACGATAATGGTGAAGGGAACAGGATTCCCTGAACAACCCAGCCACCCACTGAACATATGCATGAGGTTTAAAATGGAACAGCGTGTTCAGTGAAAGCTGAACGTCCCTTGCACGCTTCAGCCTTCCACATGCCACTCAGGAGCCTGGGCAGCCCATGCTGTGAGCAGCTTGGCAAGGGTTCTCCTCTCCCTGTCACTCTTCTGGCCTGATCTATTACTCCTCCTACAGCCCTCTCCATCTTCTTCCTGGCTGCTTCCAGGACTGCATCTGTGGGTGTCTAACCTGGCTGTACTCAGCAAGCCCCACAGGGTGCCGGCAGGGCCACGCAGGCATTGCTCAGTGGGTGAGGAAGACAGACATCCATCTTCCACAGTGTCTGTCAAGTCCTGCTTACTCCTACACCCCACCTACCTGTCAGCAAAAGGAGGTATTAAATTACAGTTCTGTGTATTGAGTGGGAAGGGAAAAATGGTTTTCACAGAAGAAACCCAGAGATTTCATCTGATTTTCAGAGACACAACCCAAACATGGGGATTTGTATCCCCATGTCTGTGTTACGGGCCCTATTCCCTCTTCTAACCACCTCAGCTTGCTGCTTTGAAGTGTAACTGTGTGCAAGATGTGACTCTGCCCCCAGGCTCAGACCAGGTCTGTTGCACAGGGGCTGTGCTCACACCTAAGAACCACGCACACCAAGTCTGTGGGTAAGGCAGCCTGCGTCTTCCAACAGCCGAAACCATTATGATATGAAGCGAACGCAAGTCTGTGCTTACACGAAGGAGCAATGAGACGCACTGGCAGGATTTAGTTCATAATGAAAAGCTTTTGCTAAAACTCAGTAATATTTAATGACTGTAGCTAAAAGAATCACATTTTATTATTTATAGCCCAGCAAACAGCTTTACTCTCCATAAATCCAGCAGAGCAGTGCCAGCAGTAGGGTGGGTCTCAAGGCATTGGGCATTTAAATGTCCAGCTCTGGTTTTGTCTGTGACCTTTTGTTGAGGCAGTTTATACCATGGGACTGCAGGGAATTTGCAACATAGAGCCCTGCTGCTGTTTACACACACAAATCTGTTCCAGAAACAGGCAAAGCTTCTGCAGCAGCTTCTAAAGTGCTACTGGTGTGGTTTAAGCAGCTGAACCCAGGACACCATACTACTGCTAATGAAAGAGGTGGCATCAGACACAAACTACAAGCAAAATCTGACATTCCAGGCTTAAATCTTGACAATCGAGTGAGAAAATGTCACAGGCAGGAGAAATCACCTATTCACAGCCCTGCAGCTGTAGCCCCTGGAAGGTAAAACGTGTGTGAAGAGATGCTCCAGCAGAAGCCAAGCACAGGAGGATAACACCTGTGGGGTGTCCAATGGACAGGTTGCAGAGTGTGCCTCAGTGGGGAGACTGGAGCACTGGTGGTCTCTGTGCCTTCATATCTGTCCTCCAGCTCAGCCTGGCTCCTGCGGGAGGGAAGGGAAGGAGCGGTGGCCAGCCTGATGCTGGAGGTGAAACCACTGCACACAAAAGAGCAGAGAAGTCTTTCAGGATGGGGCATCCTCAAGTAGAGAAAAGCGAATAAACACTGGAATCATGGAATGGTTTGGGTTGGAAGGGACCTTGAAGCTCATCCACTCCCAACCCCCTGCCATGGGCAGGGACACCTTCCATAGACCAGGCCTGCTTCAGTGTTGCCTTGAACACTGCCAGGGATGGGGCAGCCACAGCTTCTCTGGGCAAGAGCGCGTCTATAGGAAGAACTGAAGGGTTTTAGCCAGAATTCTCCATTTCATTCCCTGCCCTAGAAAGGAGGAGAAGAAAATTTCGGTGCTTGGGATGTAGTTAAGGAAGTGTTCCTGACCTCTCACAGAGGACTTTAGTCACAGGGAGTAACACACATAAGGAAAAACAATAGTGTTATGAACCAGTCTTCTCTGAGAAATGATGGTTGAAGTCCTTAGACTGAAGGCAAGTAACAGAGGCGATTGGTCTGAGAGACTTATCAGAAAATAGCAACACGACTTGAATGTGAAAACGCAGCCACAGGGAATTAGCAGAACGTGCACTGCCCCCAGAGACATGGACATCAGCTGGTGATTTATTCTCTCTTGGATCCAGACACCTTAATTCCCAACATTTCCCCAGTTCTTCATTATGGACCAAAACCTGGCACTGAATCAGCCCCTCTATGTGCAACAGCCAGAACTGAGACCATTCTGAAATAAATATAGAAATTCTAAACCACTTCTCATTTTGGGAAATGGATACAATTATCCTCCAAAAGGATCAGCCAATAAATCACTCGACAAATTGACATGATAAATCAGCAGCAGAGGATGAAAAGCCAGGCATGTGCTCCCAACTGCTTTCTCTTATGGATGATATGACATTAAAGGCTAAAACCAGCTTTGAAAACAAAGTCTCCAACAAATAGAGCTCCCAAGGCAGCTCGCCCCACACCTTCCCTCCATAGCATCACGTTGACCTTTTATACCAACAAATCTTGTTAATATTGAATCTGCTGTGTTTTCCAGTTTTAACCCCATACTCTGTGAGAGCACACTGCAGAAGCAGCAGTGTTCCTCCCATCGAGATAGTTCTTCCCACCAAGCCAGCTGGGCTTTCTCATCTGTCTTCCCTCATCCATGTCTGCATCTCATCTCTAGAACTTTATCAGGACCCACATTTATGTTTTTGCTGTTAACTTAGGAGCCACTATTCCCTCTTGGTTTGTTCCATGCAATTACAAGCCACCTGCTAAGACTAGAACTTTGGCATCTCCTTTCAAGAGGGCACAAGACATAATTACAGACTTGGGCTCCAAGAATGACATACTATTTGCCAAATGCTCTGCTCTGTATTGCCAGGTTTTGACTTTCCAGGCCCCTCGCAGTGGCAACATCCTGATTTGTCTAACTGTGATTTGGCAAGACCTAACCTAGCATCATATTGGGTGTCTTCTATCATGAGTAAGAACAAGCGAGGGTTGCACGCACAGCAGTGCCAGTTCTCCCACCCGGCGCCGTGTGTGGGATTCCTTTCTTTGTTCTGCCAATTGGTAGGTGGCAAAAAACCTTCCAAACGTTTATCCAAGATGTGGGGGTGGAAAATCAATGAGGAAATCCTACTGCTGCTTTGCAGCCTAATCAAAAGTCTTTGATAACATCCTAGCTGCGAAAGTTCACATTGTCTTTTCCCTCCCTGTGTAAAATAGATCTTAGAATAAAGGAATGACTTTGCTAAATAAACTTTAACTCATGGCACTTCTACCACAGAATACAAACGGCCTGTATTCAGGCAGTGGCAGCCAACTGGATGGAGTCCAGCTAGAGATAAGGCTCACTTTCTGGAGGACAAACAATACAGCTGCAGTGGGCATGATCCAGAGGCCCAGAATCTCTGGTTGTGTCTCAATCTGAGTGCAGAAGACAATGAAGAGAAAAAGGGAAACTCCATTACCTTCCCTGGGAAGCCTGTGCTGCATGGTCTGGAACACCAGACAGGTCCCTGATATAACAACAGATCAGGCCCTAGGAAGACGTCTTGCTTCTGTGTCCCTGTCCGTCCTCACCAGCATGAGTGGTTAAATCCAACTGATTTACTAATTAGACAATGTAACAGTGACAACATCTTTGAAATGATCGTTCCATCTCCTCTGTCTCATTGCTGAGTCAAACAGCTCAATTCCTCTGCAGCTGCTTGATTTCTCTGCATTTCTGACACTGCCTCTTGGGCACGAGTCTTGCTACACAAATGATGTTTGCACTGCAGCGTCTGGCACAAACACCTGATTTGCATCATTACCAGCTTGATACAAGCCAGGTTCTCCCTGGCTCCTTCCTTTTCAGGGTCCCTGTAACACCACAGTGGTTTGGGGTTCACCCACTCTGAATTCAGAGATGCATGTGAAAGGTTTCTATGATTTATTTCTTTTTAAATCGAACATGAATGCAAACGAAGACTAGAAACAAAAATAAGGCATTTTGTAAAGTAAAAGTAAATTTACTGAGGCTGTGGGGGAGCACAAGCATTTGTAGTGTGCTAAATGGCATGAGAAACATTATACAAAAAGGAAGTAAACCTGACTAGTTTATTATATTCATTCAGAAAACTGCAGAAAGGTAAAAGAAATCAAAGTCTAAAATGACTCAGTTTTAACCTTGGCATGTTTGGATGTTGGAGAGGAAAAAAAGCAAAAGGTCTTGTTAATTGTGCCCGCCTGTGATCACAAACTCATTTGATACTTGGTGACAGTATCAATATCCTGCCCTGGTGCTGGTACCGGTACCCAAGTCTGCCCCAGCAGTATCTGCAGCAGGGATTCCTGCACTGCTTCTGCATTGGGAGTGTGCAGGGTCCTTGGCAGCGCAGAGGAAGAAAGCACTTATTTAATGAGATTTTAGTGCACAGGAGTGACAGAGCAGATGGGACAGAGCTTGAAACACTTGAGTGACACCACGATGAGCTCTGGATTTGTGGGCCTTCTTTAATGAGATACATTAAACCTCTGTTTATCAAAACTACAGAGAACCTGCACTTACAACCAGAGGCACAGGAAGCAGGTGCACAGCAGGTCTGGACAGGCTGTGAGCCCTTGGCACAGAGTGTTTGGTATATGGGAAGTCATTCGGGTTTTCAACGCAGGCTTAAACCTTGTCTGTTGCTGAGTCATCACAAGTGGGCAGCGTGTTAGCTCATTGCAATGATGAGATAAATCCTATGTGGATTGGTCTCCAGGTGCTTAATTCCCCCTCTTTTTTTTACAGCTGACAGCCATGTCAAAGATTTGGCCTTTCCTGCACTATGAAAAAGGCTTTTAATTACTCAGCTCAGCCTGGACCAGAGAAATCCTCAACTTAAAAGTTACTGCCTGAAGAAAGAGATAATAAGGATGAGGGGCTGGGGGTTCTCTTCCTCAGTGTTTCCCTGACCTATGTGCATCAGATGTTGGACTGCAAGGGCAAGTCCCATTTTGCCCACTGCAGCTTGCGTCATGCACAGCCTGAATGCAGGGCAAGATCTCTGCAGGAGTGATACCATGGGGCTACAGCACAGCAGCCAAGTAGCTGGCATTGGGTAAAGAAAGAATGATAAGAACCATAAATGTGTGCCACATCTCAGCTACTACCTCCATCAGGTGATGGAAGATGCTGCCAATACACACTCATATATACTATAAATGTTAGAACATGTGACATAGAATCATAGAACAGTTTGGGTTGGAAGGGACCTTAAATTTAGTTTCAACCCCCTGCTGCGAGCAGACACCTTCACTAGACCAGGTTGCTCAAACATGCTGCAAAAGGCAACAAGACAGAGAGCTCCATTGCAGCCTTAATTCCACATCAGCACTGGAATACCCCCTGGCAGACCATAAAGCAGAGAGCGATGCTAGGAGAACAACTTGCACATTGTTGTTACAAGATATGCTTGCCTTTTTGAACTCATGTTCATCTTACAGCCAGCTCTGGCAGGAGAGACAGTACTTTGTAATCACTAGCAAGCACATAATGGGCCATATTTGAGGAATGGCTGCACAGGCCAGACAGGGACAAACACCCAGACTGCAGCATCACATCACAATGATACACTTCATTCCACTTTTAATTCAGGCACTGGTGGATTTGAGCCCCAACAGGCTGTGGCCTGTTTTAATCCAGCAAACCAAACTGGAGAAACAATTATTCCACAGTAAGCACTGTAAGCACAGATATACACTAAAGTAGCCATAACATTTTCAACCATAGAATACAAATTTTAAACCATAATACATTAATTCCACTTCCTCAGGCAGGCAAGTCTTTACATTTAGGACTTCTTTCTACACATATGTATTTACTTGAATGGGTAAACACCTTTGAAACCAAATCCACAAAAAGGCTGTTTCTAACTGGGACAAGAAGGTGTGAAATCTACACCTTCAGTTATGACTTTCATTATAGAGGTATCTTAAATGCTACATTTACTCCAGTCTTGAGTTACCCCTAATAAATGTTGGTCTGCTTTCCTTGATACTCTGCACCAGCGATAATTAACACTGTTCTGCTAACTGCTTGCTAAGGGAAGGTCATTAGCATCCTCACTGTTAAAGTAGCTCATTAGATCTAGTTTATGAACCTACTCACATAAGAAAGTTGGGGAAGGGAGAAAAAGGAAGGGTAAAAAGTGGTAAGCTTATTCTCACGTTCTTTTCCAGGTCATACCAGGAGCAGCACAAAACCCTTCAAACCAGAACAGCTCAAATTTGCTTACAGGTAATTACAAGGTCCCTCATGCTCAGACCCCTTTTTCTAAAGGAGGCTGTTCAAAAAGGAGATGCCTCTTGAGATACTGGTGAGCTCTGCTGTGGTGAGCATTCCTGGCACTGCAACCCAACACGGCATTCAGTCCTGGGGTCTGCCAAGAGGAGACCCCTCAGTTTAGGTGATGCTGCTATTTGCATGACCCTCAGCACCCAGAAGTGTGATTTGGGTCCCCTCTCACAGAGCCTAGCTGCCAGACCGTGCCACCCTGTCCTGCAGCTGCCTGGCAGAAGCAACTGGAGGCCATGTCCCTCAGGCAAAGCTGAAGCAGCAGTAGCCAAGGAGGTCAGGCCAGGTGGGAACCACCAGCAGTGGGGGACAGGGAGTAGCTTTTAGCCCATCAAGAGGTGCTGGTGGAGGAGAGCTGACCTCTGGCACTTTGAAACACCATCCTCAGACACTGATGTTGCCAGGTGACAAGCAGGTACAGACAGGTCTCAATCCCTAGACCTGATGGGTGGTTGCACAGGGAAGATGAGGAAGAAGTTAATAAAGCAGGGAGCTAATAGGAGAGATGACAGCACCGAGCAGCAAGGGCAGTGTGTGCCCATAACAGCAATTCCCCTGGCACGTGTAGGGAGAACAAAGGCTGGAGTCCGTGCCCGTTTCTCATCACAGCAAGGCAAGGATGGAAGAGGAGAGCACTGCTGTGCTCAGATGGGAAACAAATTACAGACTTGGAGGAAGGAAAGGAAGGAAAGAAGTGCCAAGGCACAGCCTCAAAAGAAATAAATCACTGCCTGCTCTTGCTTTTCCTGAAGCAAGAGTACATCAGTGAGTGGAAGGAGACTGCTGCTTGTGCAAAGGAACAACATAAACCCTGAGGAGGGAAGACGTGCATGTGCACAGAGGAGCATGGGTGCAGGCTCACTGGCATGTCTCACAACTACTTAATTTTGAAAGGCCACAAAGATATAACTAGAATTAATAATACAAACAGCTGAAGCTATGATACAGCCTGAGAAGGGTTAACTGCACTTCACATTCTGCTGCTAGTTGCCTCCACTCAGCTCTTCTAAGCCTGAAATGTTGCTTAGGTATTGAGGCACAGGAAGAGCAGTTAGAAGACTTTTATCTGATACTCAATGTGAGTGGTAGGATTTGGGGTATTTCTCTTAACTGTTCTGTGCTTCAGCAACCATGTCTGCATAGTGGGACCTTTCAAAGACAGAAAAGTACTAAAGGTACTTGGGTGTAATGCGCTGAAGAGGTGAAATTTCTCACTGACTATCTCAAGGATAAAGCAGGAAATCACAGTCCAAGTCATTAAATGGGAATTATTTAAACTCTGCAGGTTATCACAAAGGTCCTGAAAAACATACAGTTATCTAGAAATAAAACTGTCTCATCTAATGAAGTACTCCAGCAATGCCTAGTCTTATTTGTGAATGAATAGGCAGCACTGATTTATAGTAATTGATCCCAGTGCTTGGCAAGTAGTAAAACCTTATGCAAATTATAGCTGCCACCCTAAAACTGCATTTGTAGAACTTCTTTGTAAGTCAGTCTTAAGCCTTTTTACCATAATAAAAGTTATCAATATTTAAAGAGACATGAAAAAGAACCATACATACATGCTTCTTCTCACTTAGCTTTTAAAAACTAACGTGTTTGGTGCTTTGGGTGATTGCAAGGAGCTGACCTGCATTGGAACTAGGAGGATTAAAGAAAAATCTGAATCTGAATCTGACCTTCAGCTCTGTGGCACACCAGGGAGCGAGGGAGCAGTCACACACATGAGGCTGCAGCTGTTATGTACCTTCTACATGAGGATTATAAGATCAATACAAGCATTTATTGGTATCCAGCTGCCTGCGACAGCTTAGTGCTACAAGGACACGGGCGGCTGATTCCTTATTAAGAGCACTGCTAGAGGGAATCTCACCATGAACTCACCAAAACTAGGTAAGATTCCAGCCATATTTGATCAAAACACTGCTCAGTTAGGGAGGGAGCTTCAGGTGCATTTTGTAAGCAGTCAGAAGAACTGGTGGATCCTCAGGATCTCAGGTGAACCCTGAGGCATCAGGAGCTGGGTTGCACTGCTTTGGACCATGCCTGTTATTGCAGCTCATCCAATTTATCCTGCCTTCTGCCTCTCTCTTTCAAGACCTACACTCTTCTCTCGATCTGCTTCATGGTGGCTCTGGAATAACAGCAGTGTGAGTGGATGGGGATTCCCAGAAGGACTATGGGAACTGGGCTCCCAAATTTCCCTTAAAGCCAACAGGAGCAGGTAGCTTAGTTTCCACTGACTGCCTTGAAAATCCTAGTCATAACTCAGGCTGCTTCTGTAGCCTGCCCAAGTGAGCTGTCAGTGCTGTATAAAGGTCTCCATCCCACAACAGCCAGACAATTCCAATGACAAACACCAGCAAGTTTTAACAACCAAGGTGATTGCTTGTCTTAGCTCTGGTGGAGAAGTTGGCTGTTTGTCCTTTCACTCTGAATACTATTTGTTTCTCTGTGTTATGTGAAAGCAGCTGATCTTTCAATCACTGTAGCGCTGGGAGCATGAGTCAGCCCAGCCAGCCCAGAGGCTACAGAGATGGATGCTGGTGCTTTCTGTGGCATGAACACTTCACTCCTGCTCTCCTGCCACAGAGATTGTACTTGAGTAGCCTCCTCCCAAATGAGAACTGCCCAACATGTACAGCATTAGAGTAATTCAAAATCATAATTAATATTTTCCCAGTCTAAAGAAAGCCTAAGGCAGGCATTAAATTGAGGTTAAGCATATTTCAGGCAGGCATCCTTAAGTAACTCACAAGTTGTTTGATCTCTGACTACCAGAAGGGCAAGGCACATCGTTTCCTACAGCCGAAGTTTTTGACCTGTGACACTACAGACCCCTGGGCAACTTTCAAGATTAACTGCAACCATTCAGGGTCCTCACCAGTCCTCCCAGACAGCCCTCTAATGCGGGATGACAAAGAATGAAATGCAGTGGGGTCATCTGAGGCACCTCAGACCTGCCTCGCATCACTGGCACCCACCTTCCGAGCATGCTGCTCTGCTCATTTCATTCCCCTACTTGCCATTCCCCATGTCCCCTGCCCTGCACAAAGCATTGCTTCCACTGGTTCCTTTGTTCTTGCCACTTTCAAATCATTCCTAAACCGAGATCATTTCTTCCTGGGTACCCAGAACACTGAGGTTAGCAAAGAGTAAACCAAACTGTACATATTGATTCTCTTAAAACAGATCTCATTTCTTTGGTCCATTCAGCTTTATCTGTATCTGTCTCCTTTGTACACTTAAGAGGGCTACAGAGCAACTGTATCACTTCCGGGGGCTGCCATTCAATATGTACATTTATATATATATATAAAATATATAAAATTAAATTTATATAAACAATTACGAGTAGATACACACACCAGCATCCACGCAATGAATAGACAAGAAATGATGGGGGGTGTTGTTTAAAAATAGGTCCAGAGCCCCCAGCAGCTGTGTCACAGCAGTACTGAGCTGGAAGAGCACATCAAAGCTCTGCCTCTCAGGTGATGGGACTAGTGAAGACACCAGATACACCACTGGAAAACTGTAGCACCTCCAGCACAACACGAGCAGTGCCGCTTTGGGTTTACATGTAAGCTACTATATTTTACAAATGATGATCTGTGTTCTCTGAAACTCAGTGCGCTGAACTCCGCAGAAGGGTGCAAGAGAAAGAAATTATCCCGGGACATTTAGACTTCTTTTCCTCATTAAATTTTCCAAGCCTTGTATTTCCAACTCCGAATGTTCTCTGATGGCTAGCTTTTGGAGCAGGGTCTTTTGTTTTGCTCTGCACTGGGATGATAGTGGCACCAAAAGACAGATCTCCACTAAAACCAAGGCCAACAACTGCACCAGTTATAGAAAGGAATACTACTAATAAAAACCCAAAGCATACATGCCAGAAAGGGATACTAATAATCCAAAACATACACACCCATCCTGCCGTGGATTTACACCATCATTT